TTGTTTTCTGGCTCTACTTTTGTTGTTTTGTTGTACTTAGGTTAGGTTTTATTTTTTTTACTGTCGCTTCACGACATTTGGCGCCCAACGTAAAAGTCCTCTTTCTCTCTTAATTCTTCACCTTTACTGCGCCTTGTCCATTCCCTTTTGATTTAATTGCTCTCCCTTTCGTTCTTAACTCATTATTCATCATTCATTTATTCATCCTTTTCATACCTTCCAAATTCTAAAACAACACTTCATCTAGTGTTTCAACTTATCTGGATTATATTTAGACCTACATTTCACACAACACTTACATTCATCACTTTAATATTTTTATTGTAGATAACCTTCCAAATTCTAAAACAACACTTCATCTAGTGTTTCAACTTATCTGGATTATATTTAGACCTACATTTCTCACAACACTTACATTCATCACTTTAATATTTTTATTGTAGATAACCTTCCAAATTCTAAAACAACACTTCATCTAGTGTTTCAACTTATCTGGATTATATTTAGACCTACATTTCACACAACACTTACATTCATCATTTTAATATTTTTATTCTAGAACAAAAACTTCATCTAGTTTTTCAACTTATCTAGATTATATTTAGACCTACATTTAACACCTTACTCACATTCATCACTCTAATATTTTTATTCTAGGTAACTTAAAGAGGTATAACTTTTCAATTAAATCTTTATTTCTTAAACTTTACACTTTATATAAAATTGTTTTTCAAAGCTGAAGCGAGACAATTCATAACTTTTCTAAGCATTTACAACTGTTAATTTGTATATATTTATAAATATCTAAACATTTATTAACTGCTAATTTGTATATATGTATAAATATCACATTTAATTTGTATATATGTATAAATATCACCATCATTTTCACCTTGCTATTATTTCTTTTAATTTGTTTGTTTGTTTGGTAGGTTAATCTTCACTTCTTATTATTTCAGACACATCTCGCTAGTGATGTTGCTGATCTCTGGCTTTGAGCCCTACCGCTCTGGCCGTTCTTTATCTTTACTTAAGTCATAGCGACTAAAGCTTGCTTAAGATTGATCTCTTTATCTTTATCTTCACGCAGGAGCGGATGACAACTCCTTAAATAAGCCTGAATGTCCTTTCGAAAAAACACGTAAGAGTGGTGTTTCTTCGACTAATTTATTTTTTTTTCCACGCAGGAGCGGATGACTACTCCTTAAATAAGCCTTAATGTCGTTTCGAAAACACACTTTTAGAGTGGTAGTCATTGAATGTGAACTCCACCCTTACCTGAATGGCAGATGATGTATGTAAGAGATAGTATATCTGATTTTGCCTGGTGATGTCTGTTTCTGCAAAGCTGTGTTTTTATGGTTTATTTTAGAATGTATATATCAAAATTTTTGCTGAGTCAAAAATTTTCCAGGGTCGGGGGGAAAATGTAGTGTTATGCTACTTACATATATCATTTTACATTATTTTAAATTCATTTTTCCATTCTGTTTCGATTTTCTGCATTCACCTCAAAACTGGATATTTTACATCACCTTTATTTCCATAGGATCCTGTAACGATTTTAAACCATAAGAACACAATAACAAATCATTTCTACTTCGTATTTTCACATTGTCAGCACTTTTAAATTGGTGTCAATGGAGTCTACCTTTTTTCGATCTTTTAGCTAGTTTTCCGTAACTCTACAATCTTGGACTTTGTGTGGGCAGTTGCGCTACCTTTTTTCCTATATCAATAATATCTCATTTTCCACTTAAATCTTATAGTTTTCTTATTATAAACCTAAAACAAAAATTTGACATGTTTTGTCTTTCTTATTTAAATCGTTTCCATGGTAATTATATTCAAATTTGCTACCGATCTATTATTCCTATTTCGATAATTCCACATAAATCCTCTTTTCTCTTGACCATTTACAAAAAATTTGCGTATAATTTAAATAATTTTTCCGTTCTCTCTAGAAAGGTATAAAAGCCGAACAATCGGTGAAGAAAGGCAGTCTCGCTTCAGTTCGCGAATTAGAAGTATCTCCTAAAGGTCTTATCCCGGGGCCGCACTGCCCCGGGATCCTGCAAGCCTCCATTTACACGTGAAGTCTTCGGCGAAGCCTTCTTCAAACTCGGGCCGCGCCACTCCGGGATCCTACCAGCCTCCATCTACCTCGGGAGTCGCTTCGAGTCTACTACAAGTGCGGGGGCCACACTACTCCGGGCACTACTACTACTTACTCCAGGCGCCGAGTGCACCTACCGCCGGCGCTACCTTTGGGCGCTGCAACTGCTAGCTCTAAGCGTTGCGCGCCCCTTCTCCAGGCGCTACGTGCGCCGGCTCCGGACGCTGCGTGTACTGGCTCCAGGCGCTGCGCGCCGTCGCTGCTAAGAAACCTACTTCTACAAGCGCAAAAGGCGTGTGCTGGCTTCAGGCGCTGCGTGCCGTCGCTGCTAAGAAACCTACTTCTACAAACGCAACGTGTGTCGCTTCGACTTTTAGGCCCCACTTCAACGCTATATTCCCCTATTCTCTCACCTTTATTTTTTTTTATAATCTAATTGTATTCTCACTTCATCCACCATCATCCTCACATCATTTTTTTATAAAATTGTAAATACCTTTTATAAATTTAAATATATTGTTTTCTGGCTCTACTTTTGTTGTTTTGTTGTACTTAGGTTAGGTTTTATTTTTTTTACTGTCGCTTCACGACAACACATCACCCTTTTTTCACAGTTAAGAATGTGAAATTTTTATATGAAACCGTCCCTAAACTATTTAATATTTTTCAAATGTACAAAAAAAAATTGCGTCAAATTTAAAAATAGGCGATTTACATAATGATTTACGCGAATACTACACATCGAATACAATTAATGTCAATAATTAACAATAAATGGAGGAAATGGATGGATCTACTCTTTAGACGTTCATTTTTTTCTCATTGTTTCTCTTACAGTGGCTTTGAGGTATTCCATTTTAATCCTCAGATGAACAACGCAGCTTTCTTTGTTTAAAGTAGGCTGCATGTGTCCATAGACTGCAGTAGCCAGTTACCATCAGGTGAATTGTAAGTTCGTTTGTAACTTCAGTTCTATAAAAAAATGGTCTGGTGCGTTGCAGTCAGTTGCAGAAATAACAGTAGTTATAGGAATGGTTTTCACACTCACTTGTATTTTTAGGTTACACAATACAGCTAATTCTCCTATAATATACAGGATTTCACTAATGAAGTAACACAAAAAGCATGAGTACTAGATGGTAATGTAGTAGGAACAAGATTTTGTTAGTGTGATGGTGTGGGGTTACTTTACTTTCTAGCGAAAAACTACAGTAGTGCTGTAATTTGAAGAATAGGGTCAGTAAAATTACAGATTTTTTTTTATTTATTGATCCACCAACATTTGTATCATTCCTTACATGCTATTTAAATACAATGAACCAATAAGAACTAAAATGTACAAATAATTACAGGCGGATACCACATGCTAAAAACTATCTCAGCACTGTAACTTTATTTCTAGGGTAAAAAAAATAATAATAATGATATACAGTAATAAAAATACATAGAGCGAAAAGAAAAGAAAATGTTTTATAGAATATTACAAGAAATGGTCTCTTAATGTGCGACGGAGCTTGTTAGGAGGGTCGAAAAATATATCGATTGTTTCGCTAAATTTGTTAACAATTTTACTCATTCTAGCAATTTGAGAATTGGAGCCAAACACTGTTCTACGATGAGGCCTAGTCAACGGTGTAATCTTATGAGCAAAACGCGGATAGCGATAGGGAACGCACAAATTAAATTTACTTTAAATTTCGGGACAGTCAATAACACCACTAATAATTTTCGAAGATTGTGAGACATTCCTTGTTAGTGCTCAAGGTGACGACGCGTCTAGATTCTATTTTGTTCGAAATTAGTTGATGCAAGAGCCACTACTATCTAGCGGACAATTTCCTGTTTTGTCACCGTATATTTGAAACAAATTAAAATTCCACCACGTGAATTTGATCGTGTTTAATAATTGGGTAATTTGTGCTTTATTTTTATCACCTTAAATAATAAGTTTACAAAGTGTGGACTCAATGTCTTCCAGCTTTCTTTCCCAGTGGTGATAGATCCAAACAAGTGGTAAAATTAAAAATTTTGTAGAACTAACGTCAATATAAATTATTAAGGATAACTCAAAAACTACTGGTCAGACCTTGATCAAATTTATGTGGGACCATATGAGAAGCACCACAGCTTTCAAATAAAAATCGAAATCGGTTCACCCAGAAAAAAGTTATGAGGTAACACATAAAAACAGTCAAATTGAGTATCTCCTCCTTTTTGAAATCGGTCAAAAAAAAATAGCCCAATGGTAAAAAAAATAATTGAAAAAAACCCAACTGCGTAAGAAAGTTTACTTTAAAGAGAAAAAATGTATACCCTATGTCCCAGAATAAAAAAAATGTGACGACATCACTTCCACAACTAAGACGAATCTAAGGATGCCCCATATGTTAAAATCCATCAAGCCATTTCGACTACAGAGCGTGCTAAAGAAATAGACATATACATACATACTCTCGAAAAACATTATCTTCCTTCTGGGGCAGTAAAGTAAAAACATTAGCAATAAAATGAAGAACAGAGCAATGATAAAACAGAACAGAATCATTCTTATTCAATATATACGTAGATTACAGAATAGTTATTGAAAGTCACTTAGGTTTTACTACTGGTTCGGAAAAAACCTCTGTCCTGAGAAGAACCAAATTATTTGCATGTAATGTAGTCAGCCATATTGCTCGAAGAACCGACAACCGATGGGGAAGAAAGTTTCTCGAGTGGCAACCTCGTACCGGAAAGCGAAGTGTGGGGCGGCACCATAATGTGGATGGATGCAGGTGGCTCAGGACCGTGCTTTGTGGCGTTCGTCGAGGAAAGCCTATATTCAGCAGTGCACATACAGAATGATGATGACGTAACTAACGGTTGTTTCCCCCCACATGTCCAGGTCCCGGCGAGAGCTACACAGACTACGTGGCGACGCGCTGGTACCGCGCGCCCGAGTTGCTTGTCGGTGACACCATGTACGGCCCGCCAGTGGACGTCTGGGCCATCGGTAGGTAGGGTTCACATTATTTATGTAAGATCAAACTCGAAGCGACGGCAAACTGCTTTCACTGCGGGGGGCAGGGCCAGGACTATGCACCCCATACGCTGGCAACATGTTCAGCATGGGAACTTTCATCGAGAACTGACGAGAGGGCTGATCCCGCTCGAAGACGACGTCTCCAATGCGTTCGTCAAAGCACTCCCCTTGAAGATGGTGTTCCCCTACCAGAAACGAGACCTCTGAGGTTACGGGTAACCGAGGAGGACGGTGACTCGGAAGTGGTCCCGAGATACTATGATAGCGCTATGAGGGCGCTGGGGCCAGTAAGTACTGCCCCCGGAACGTGCTTTAATAAAGCAAAGCGAGAAAGAGGCACCGGTTTCTTTCCGGAGGGAGATCTCGGAACCCTATATATACGCTGATGGTAACCACCGTAGGGTTTTAGCCGGTAGGAGACCAACGTAACCTTTCCGTTGCCGCCACGGCCCAAGGTATCCATGAGGGTTTCCCCACGAAAAAAAAGGAAAGGAATTCAAAGAAAGTCATGCAGCGGGTTAAAAATGCCCGTGCCTGCTTCTATTATAAAATTTGCCTATGTAATATCTTATATTAACAACGTAAGAAATGCTTAAAATGGACTACCGTTGGCAACTACATTTTCCCACTTTACTGTTTGGCACTATTATATCTAGAACACCCTCCTATCTTTATAGTAAGGTTTTATTATCATACGGGACATTCAGTCGATTATTGGCTACGTGCAAGTGACTGTAGCATAATATGGTAGGGTGCGGACCGCGGTCTCAAATTTCGTGGTCGTGGGTTCGAATCCACCATTCGACTACTGTCGTGAACCACCCCTAACACAAGCATTTTAAACATACCATTATTGGTTAAAGGGTAAATGTTTATAGCATTGCTAGTATTTTTTATAGGATAAGGGTGACATCGAGCACACAGTCCACCTGATAATAAGTGGATCCTGTGGCCCATAGACATCTACATTTATTCTTATTTATATTATTTTATTCTCATTTAATGCAGATGCGCTGTCACCCCTGAAGACTGAGGTGGAATGCCGCGTTTCCAGTAAAAAGGGTACGGATCACAAACACCAACCACACGCCGATATTTTTTTAAACTGTAAAATAAGACTAAGGTTTACAGAACATGAAGACGTATAAATTAGTAGTAAGTTTCAAAAATCGAACTCTTTACAAAAGAGCTCCCATATGAGGATTCTAGAATATTCCCACTGGGGATAAAATAACCTTAAAATATTCCTTAACACTGGAGATAAAATAAAACATTTTAACCCAGCGGAAGGCGATGTGTTGCCATTTATCAGGTTGCGTGTTCGCGGAACTGGTGTCGGGAGTGGCGCTGTGGCCAGGCAAGAGTGACCTGGACCAGCTGCACCTCATCCGCTGCACGCTCGGCGACCTGTTGCCCAGGCACATGACCATCTTCTCTCAGAACACATTCTTCCAGGTGCATTTATTTATATAACGTATAATTACAGTCTATATACGTTCCACTTTTGGGCACAGACAATTTCTCATTTCTGAGTATATTTATAGAATAGAATAGCATAAATTTTTATTTTTGTTGACTTAAAATTCAAATAAATACAACATTTATCACCATAATGAAAAACTAAAAATAAAAACTTTCCCGTGGTATAGTGCTAAGAACGCTGATTGCGTTTCCTAGTTGAATAGCTATACTTAACCTTTGAGAGAGAAAAGAACCAGCCTTGTCACCAGCATTTTTTATTCAATATAGATTACAAGTAATTCTTATTGTAGCTTATTTTTTTACTTTTACCACTGATTCGAAAAAAAACCTCTGTCTAGGGAAGAACCAGCAAGAAACCAACAAAAAAACAGCAAGAAACTCAGCGGAATTTATACGAGGGTGGATTGAAAAGTACTCGGCCTAACCAAGAAAATAAACAAATACTAAATCAGTTATATTTTTATTTTTCTACATAATCACCATCAAGTTCAATACACTTTTGCCACCTCCCCTTCCAAGCATTTAGACCATTGAAAAAAAATGATTCTTCCTTAGAGTCAAAATATGCGTCTACAGCTGCTTTGACCTCGTCGTTTGTCGAAAATCTTTGACCTCCCAAGTGCTTTTTTAGGTTAGGGAACAGAAAGAAGTCTGATGGTGCCAGATCAGGTGAATACGGCGGATGCGGTAACAGTTCAAAGCCACAGTTGTGAATTTCAGCCATTGACTGTACTGACGTGTGAACACGGGCGTTATCTTGATGAAACAGGACTTTTCTTCTGAGCATTCCTCGACGTTTTTCTTTTATTTCCTCTCGTAAACGACGTAGTAAGGTGCAGTAGTAATCAGAGTTTATATTCTGACCCCTTTCAAGATAATCAATCATAATCACACCTTTCGAGTCCCAGAATACTGAAGCCATCACCTTATTTGCCGACAAAATCGAGTTAGCCTTTTTAGGGGGTGGTGAACCAGGTCTTCTCCACTGTTTTGATTGTTGTTTTGTTTCCGGTGTACAGTAATGAACCCATGTTTCGTCCATAGTAACAAAACGATTCAAAAAATCATCTGCATCGGCTTCAAATAACTCCAAACAGTCGCGTGAAATAGTCAATCGCGTCCTTTTTTGTTCAACTGAAAGCAGTCGCGGAACCCACCTCGCAGACACCTTGTGGAAACCCAACTCGTTGACAATGATGTTTTGAGTTCGTTCATAAGAGATGCCTATAATCTCGGCTATCTCTCTAATTTTTAATCTGCGGTCTCCCATTATTAAATCAAGTACTTTTTTAATATTTTCGTCAGTAGTTGACGTCGAAGGCCTTCCAGAGCGGGGTTCATCTTTCACACTCTCTCTACCACGCTTAAATTCTGCTATCCATTTTTTGACGGATGAATATGACAGAACACAATCGCCTAATGTACTGACCATGTCATCATGGATGGCTTTTGATGATAGCCCCTTCTTATGGAGGTACTTAATGACGGCACGCTGCTCGATTTGCTCCATTCGCGGAAATTATGTCCGATTACTTTGTTAATAAATTTATAAAATCACAACTAATTATCGCACACGTTTCGAACTTCACACAATGAACTAGTCTGAACTGAACTAAAGAATGTGGGTAGATTTGATTTTTAGAATTGAATGGATCTGTGTTAGGCCGAGTACTTTTCAATCCACCCTCGTACAATAAAACACAGGTTGTACTAGTGGTTTCACTTCCAACCACAGACCACCCTATATATTGTTTTACATGTATTTTTTATATTTGTTTATTAATATTAGCCACAAATTTTCAAATACCCCAGGGTTGAGTGGTTGAGAATGCCAAAAGGCATTAGTTCCGACCACTGTAACTCTTATTTTAAACGCATCTTGACCTTCATCGGTTCATAAAAGTTACCACATAGAGCATAGGCCTGTCCAATGCAGGGCAAATTAATAATAAGGAATAAATAAACAACAAAAGCTATAAAAGAGAACCATGTTATGCCAACTTTGCATACAAACACCAGCCCCACGGTGCATCATACGCCTGATGAGAGCCTCATGCTGTTTGCTGTCTCGGCTCTCGTCATACGAGTTCTTTTTTTATTGCCAAGGCTGCCCTATGTAGTGTATTATCTATGACCAAGGCGTGCCAAAAGATGTTTCACAAATAAAACTATAAAAGTATGACACCGCCATCTATCGGATATCATAAGATCTTTTAGCCTTTTCCAATAGTTGCCTTTTATGACATCCATTAGACAAAATTTATTTTTTCTATGACAAAATGAAAGATAAATTCTCGAAGGCATCTCAGGTGTTTGTTTTATATTTTTTCATATTATTGCCCCGTGTATTGCAGGGCATGGCGCTACCGGAGCCGACGCATATGCAGCCCCTGGAGATGAAAATACCGCAACGATACGCCAACAACGAACTTGTCATTGATTTCTTAAAAGTAAGAATTGCGCCAAAAAAAAATCTCTTATTAATTTTGACATGATTACAACTGGAGATTGATTTTTACCATCGTACGGTGCATTATTGGGACATCTTCATATTGACCGTGCGTTTATCCAAAGAGTTTCGTGGTTGAGTCACGCTGCAATTATAATATGGTTGTAGCACGGATGGGTCAGCTCGACCGGGGTAGGACCACACCCACACAGAGTGCCAGCGTAAAATAGCAGCTTAATCCTGCTGTATTTCGTACGGTGAGTGTAAAGAAACAGAGACTCTTTTACTGTAATCGAGGCAATCCATCTTCTTTGATTGATGACATTAAATGCATTTTAATGGCCCATAGAGCTCTGCATTAATCCTCCATTAATGTCATCAATCAAAGAAGATGGATTGCCTCGATTACAGTAAAAGTCTCTGTTTCTCTACACCCACCATACGAAACACAGGAGCATTAAGCTGCTATTTTACGCTGGTAAGAGCGTGGTCGTTCCCCCGTCGAGCCGACCTATTCGTGCTACAAATTGCAAAATGGCTCTACCACGTAAAAACCCCATATCACCCGTTGGTGTCGTAAGAGGTGACAGAGGGAAGTTTAAACAGGAGATGGACAGCAGTATATTCCTGATATCAGGCAAATGAAAATAAGAGACTTCGGTTGCCAAGCGTTTCAACTACGGCAAGTATCCATCTATGAAGCTATCTACGGGGAAGGCTTATGTTCTGGAGTACACATTTGATAGGCTGGAATTAATGAATGAATGCTCGAACGGACGAATGATCTGTTTGCTTGTAAGCGGTTATGTTGTGTTGCGAATAGAAGTGCCTGGACAAGGACCCGACGGCTCGCTGGACGTGCGAGCAGCTGCTGCGGCATCGCGTCTTCGAGAACTTCCTCTTCACTTTACCGCGCTCTGAACACGAGGATTACGAGAAGGCCAGGCGGGGACAGGTAACGCGATATTCCTTTGTAACTTGCGTAACATACACACGCGTACACGCGCACACGCACGCACACACACACTCGCGCACGCACGCACGCACGAATTCACACAAACACACGCGCGCACGCACCCACACACGAATTCACACACATACACGCATGCACGCACGCACACGCACACACACACAATTGCTCGATACCGCCCGCATCGTCCGCCGGTTTCTTTCCCTTTCTCCCTAAACCTCGGCCGCTTGGTCACAACGACAGACCAAACTAGAGAGAGTGCAGTGTAATTATAGGCCTTGAGGCATATCTTTTTATAACCTTCTGTTTGAATTTATTTGCAGGAGCCCATACGCTGCAGTAGCCACTTACCATCAAATGGTCTGTTAGACATTTCCTTCATTAGAACCTATTAAAAATCCACTGCTGAACATAGGCCTCATAGATTAATAAGGGGGGGGGGGGGGTATTTAAAATTTACTCCGCCTGCCAAGCGTGACTATTAAGGCAAATATTTGCTACGATGAGAGGCCTATGCCCAGCGATGATTTTGTACAGGCAGAGAAATGAAAGTTAGGATGCAGTGTCAAAAATGTGGTGACAATCGCAAGACTATCTTCAGACTAGGTAATACTAATTATATTTTATCTATACAAATTAATTTTTGAGATCTTTAATGCAATTTTGTAAAAACACTGGCTTTCGCGCATGATAGTCTTGTGATTGTCACCATGTTTCTGACACTGCATCCAAACTTTCATTTCCCTGTATGTACAAAACCAGAAATTTTGAGATCTTACGTAACGTAGCAACTAGATGCTCTATTAGGCTAAATTTACATTGCGATGGAATGGAAGCGTCAATTTCGGCTCGTCGCGCGGGAAGCGCAGTCGCTGGAATACGCGGGAATGCTCGAGCATTCCTGCGACTGCGCCTCGAAGCTAACTAAGTGGCTGCGAGTGCCACTTCCCGGCTTCCAGCGGATTCTACAACCTTCGCGCCGCTTCCCGCGGATTCCACAGACTACGCCAACAGTAGCTAGGAGAATCCTCAAGAATTCCACGGTAGACGCGCGATTTTTTTGGCTCATATCTAGTTTGAACTTTATACTATTAACATAAAACTTATTTTACTATGTACAATTTCGTTACAAAAATTCGCTTCCGTTCCGTTCCGCGGCAGTGTAAATTGGGCCTTAGGGTGAGAGCGAGAGTGACCTTCCATCACCCAAGTCGACCTTTGTTTCCTTTCCCTATCCTTATTCTCAGATCCTTTTCCTTAGCAAGCCTACATGAAACGTCGTCCTGAGTCGGTTTCAAACACTGAAGATGTCCACGACGCAGAGTCTATATCTGTGAAGAAGAGTAAACGGAAGTGATGTTTTGGTACAAAATTATTCTTGTCATGGTTAGCTGTTTTCCTGATTTATTTAATTTGTAAGGGTACATAACATAAACTTATACGCGTCACATTTTTATCTAACTAAATACTAAGAATTCCTTCCCAGTCAAGGCCATCTGCTTACGAGAGGCACACTGAAATGGATTTCGGATTCGGATTGAGTTACAATAAAATCTTTTTTAGAATTTGAATACTGGCCTCTTCGAATTTTAATAACATTCAAACAATTGAAAAAAATGTTTAAAAACAAAAATTATTTTGTTTAAAGTTGACACGTCGTTAACAGAAATGGAGCTCACGCGTGAACATTTCCGTGCCATAACTTATGGCAATTTTCGTCGAGGCTTATCTAAAGATAAATTTCTCAGCGAACTTGTTTCGATTTATGATGTTGAAGCATCGAGTCAAACGACAATATACCCGAGTATGCCGAGTTCCGACACGATCGTGTGTCGCTCAGCACTGTTTCTTCTGCACGTCGACCAAGAACAGCGGTCACGCTTGTAAACATCGCAGCTGTGCGAACTATTATATTAGATGACCGTCATGTGACATACGAGCAGATTCGGGCTGTTATCAGTATCGGAATGACTGCAACTCAGTCGATATTACATAATGAGCTGTGTAAGGAAGCTAGTTTCCCGCTGGGTTCCCCACGATTTGTCCGAAGAGCAAAAGGCGGCTCGTGTAGAATGGTGCCGGAATACTCGGCAACGCTTCAATGGAGTGAAGTCAAATGCCGTTTATAATATCGTGTCAGGTGACGAATCATGGATTTATTCATACGAACCTGAAAGAAAACATCAGTCAGCAGTTTGGGTCTTCGAAGACGAGGTCAAACCAACGAGTGGTTCGCACCCGCAACGTGTCAAAGAAAATGGTCTTTACGTTTGTCTCGAAAAAGGGGCATGTTGCTACAATTCCTTTACAAGAACGCAGAATGGCTACGAGCACTTAATATGGTTAATATGGTTAAGTGCTCGTAGCAGAACGGTTACCGCTGAGTGGTATATCACGGTTTGTTTGCCAGAAATGATAGCCGAACTCCGAAAAAAATAATCCGAAACGTCGCATCATCTTACGTCACAATGCGAGCTCCCATACGGCTCGGAAGACAAATTATTTTTTGAAACAGGAAAACGTTGAGCTGATGAGCTATCCTCCGTACAGTCCTGACCTGAGCCCAAACGATTTCTTTACATTCCCTAGAATGAAAGATTTATTACGCGGTCAACGGTTTGAAGACCCCGAAGCAGCTGTGGAAGCGTACAAATAAGCCATTTTGTCAACATCAACTTCAGACTGGAACTACTGTTTTAATGATTGGTTTGCACGAATGGAAAAGTGCATTAAGTTAAATGGAGAATATTTCGAAAAACAATAAAATACAATTTAGCTATACCGTGCATGTGGTTTTTCTTATTCCCGATCATTTCAGTGTGCCCCTCGTATGGAACGAACTTCCTTTGCAAATTCGTCGTACGAAAACACTAAAGACTGACGTTAAAAATCACTGTCTACACTGTAATAATTACTTGCCATTATTCCTTATTGTATTTATTTATGTAATTTTTATGTATATTTGCTTGTTTGATCTATATAATGTATGTCTATCATATTCATTTATTTTGTATAATATATTAGTATTAGTGAATGGTTCGACTTAACTCTGGAAGGATTACGCTCGCACAGAAAATGGTTTTAGAACGTGGTAGAGCTACCACTCTATATTACGGTTGCAACACTAATAAGTCGTTCGAGTTAAAACGACATTTTTTACAGAATACCAGCGTAAAGTAGCAGGTCAATGCTGCTGTATTTTGTATGGTGAATGTGAAGAACTGGAGACTCATACTTTTTACATCGTATATACTATGCTGCAGATATGTTATGGTTGCAACACGAATGGGTTGGTTTATCCGGAACAGAACCAAGTTCTTACAGAATATCAGCGAAAATAGTAGTTAATGCTGTCGTGTTTCGTATGGTGAGAGTAAAGAACCGGAGGATACTTCTTACTGGAAGCGAGGCATTCCATTTTTTTTTTGTTATTATAAGTTTTCTGAATTGCCTCTCATTACTGTAACAAATTAAAAGACGTATTCACATCAAAAACCACTTCTTTAAATTATGTGGCAGAGCTACGCTGCAACTATATTATAGTTATATATAGCACGAATGGGTCGACTCGACCGGAAAAGGACCACACTCCAAAATACCAGAGTAAAATAGCACATTAGTGCTGTTGTCTTTCATATGGTAAGTGTAGAGAACCGAAGACTACTTTTTTATTGGAAACGAGGCATTCTATCTTACACCTCAGGGGTGAAAATGCATCTGCATTTTTAAATGTACATATCTATGGATCATTGCATCCACTTACCATCAGGCGGACTGTGTGTTCGTTTGTTACCCTAATTCTATATAAAATTTGTTTAAAGAAAGGTGGGGTTTAGCGGGTTTAGTGTGTTTAGAATGAAGATGTAGTTGGTAATGTATTGGGTGTTGGGTGTTGGTGCGCAGGGCTCGCCGCTGCTGCCGGCGCTGGCGCGCGGCCGTGCTCCACCGCGCCGCGCGCCGCCCGAGCGCGCGCACCTGCCCTCCATCTGACCGCCCACGCGCACGCTCACGCTCAACCAATAAACTCTCCACCATCCATTGCTCTTTTATTTACACTACCTCCACATCACAACAATATATCAAATAGAACTGCATTAAACAAAAGTGGCCATTTGTAGGGAATCTAGAAACACGCAGGAAAGAGCCCAAGCAAGGATGCGCAGGAATTAAAAAAAAAGATACGCGTTTATTTCGGTTTAAGCAGACAGCACAAAACATAGAAAAATATTATTATTTTTCTATGTATATTTTCTATGGCAAAAAAAAAATAAAACGAAGTATTTTACTAACATCATAAATTCAAGAAAAAACACTAAAAAAGCCAGTCCTACAGCATAACTACGAAAGGAACCAGTCTCAGTAATAGCAACTCGAACGCCTATGGCAGAAAAGGAGACCTAAATTCAAAAGTCTATACTTTTTTTTAACATAACCTCCACTAGGACTTTCTTCTGTATCGTAGAAGTAGTTTACAAACATAAATTGCACAAAGACAAACATCTAAACGAAAAACAATTATTTGTAGACCATACAAAAATACTCGTTCCGTACGGGAAACAATACAGAGTTTCTTATATGTTCAACCCACACTACAGCTATTTTATATAGCACAAATGAATCGGCTTGACCGGGGAAAAACCATGCTCTCACAGAATACCAGCATAAAATAGCAGCTTAATGCTGCTATTTCGTGTAGTGAGTGTAGAGAACCGGAGAACCTTTTTATTGAAAACAAGGCATACCATTTTACATCTGCATTTTGATTTACGAATAGTTGTAGATATCTATGGGCCACAGCATACGCTTACTGTCAGGTGAACCATGTGTTCATTTGTCACACTTGTCCTATAAAAAAAAGTAAATAAACATGAGGGAAAGAGCCTCAAGTTAGTGTGCGGAGAAATTACATAATTTAATTCCTCCTTTTCCCTCTTTACCACCTGGCAGCTCCAATCTCTTGATGTAGATATTTTACACATCCATACCAAACGATTTGCTTCGTCCTTTGTAATTTGTACAGCAAAGGAGAAGAAGAATAGAATTCAAATGAAGAATGAATAGACTTTTGTTAAGCTAATACAGTGCAATTTATCATCTAAGGTGGTAGTCCAGTCATGCTTTGGCTTATGATACGTTAAAAAAAGTACCACATGCTCTTTTCAAGATTCAATCTGTATAACCACCAGAGAGAAGAACCATGAATGGTGGTGATTTTGTACCCACCACTTGAACAAATACAAGAAAACAAAGAAACTTTGTTGCTCATACAAACAAAATCTTACTTACAAAATAGTTTTTAAATAACATTTTGTATGCTACGAGCACAGAAAAAAAGTGAAAATATAACTAAAACTAAAAATAAAACTATATAGATCAAATCCAGCATACCTTTTTTGAGTATAATAATAACACTCATATGTACATGCAATGTAGTATGGCACAAAAAACGGAACATTCAGCATTAGTTTTTTTTTTTCTGAATGTGTACACTGTTGGCCCTGCGGTCTTGACAGCTTCATCTAATTAGGCTCGTAAGCGAGGACTTACGAACTATTGAGTGCAACGATTCTGGCGCCGCTTCGCCGACTGCAGTCCCGAGGCACCCCGACCCCTGCTTTCGGAGTGAGGCTCCGCGAGCTAGGGGGATCGATGTGATTCAAGGGCCCCTCGGAAGGAGGTACGAACCTCTGCTTGAATCACTGTCGCAATTTTATTAGCGGATCGCAAAAAATTAGAAACGCCCCGTATCACAGGTGTTAAACCTCGTGTACGGGGTGTGTCCGTGATGACGCATTCGCCGGTGAATGCGGCGTGCCCTAGTGTTCTGTACTAGAGTAGTGTCTGAGTGTGTGTGAGTGTTCATGCTTACAAAACTAGTTCCCTCTCCTGTGGAGAGGGGGGACGGGATCGACCTATTTATGGAAGTGATCTCGTCGTCGGGATCAAGAAGAACGTTCTTGGGACGTCTCCTGTGGGGGACATCCCTCAGAGGGGAGTACAAGCCCGCCTCATTCACCAACGGATTTTCATGTTCCTTTATCCAATCGAAGTTTCAGCATTAGTTGCGGGTACCTGCCTAATTTATTTTCAGAGTAGACCACTTAAGATCCTAATCCACAAGACTGAAGAAAACAACGAGACAACTGTATCGTCCCTTTGGCGACACACCACAGATGGAGATAGAGGTGATTTATAGAAAAAGAATACATAACAAAGATAATATTGTAAGGGGTAGCCCACATGCATATTGGTAAATATGCGCAAGCAAGTATTGTGTGTGTACATTTCCTATAATATGGTCGGTATGCTGCAATGCAGGTAGGATCATAGGATGGAGTAGGAAATGTATCCACCACATAATGTAAATTAAATATTTATTTCTCAGTAATTATAACTCAAAGGTATTTTAAATGTAAAATTATTTTTTTATAAATACTTTTATATAACAAAAATCAATTCTTCTTTAAAGCCCTTGACAGGGAAATTGTTTTGTACGTGGTAGAGCCATATTGTAGCAGGCTGTAACACAAATAGGTCTGCTCGAACGGGGAAGGACCACACTACCACAATACTATCATAAAATTGCAGCTTAAAGCTGCTGTTTCATATGAGAGAACCAGAGACCCTTTTTACAGGAAAGGAGGCATTCAATCCTATTCGTCGGTGGTGGCCATGCATCTACATTTTGATTCTTAGTTGTTGGATATCTATGGGCCACAGCTTCAGAAGCAGAAGCAGAAACTTTTTTATTCAGTATAGACTATAAATAATACTTATTAAAAGTCACTTCTTTTTAATAGAACTAGCAAGAAACCCAGTGGGACTCTTAAAAAAACTATAACAGCTTACAATAATGTATGTTACAATTAACACCATAAAACAAATTAATAATCACCTCATATCGTCCTGATGGTGTCCACTTACAATCAGGTGGACTATGTGCTTGTTTGTCACCTTTATTCTATTTTAGCTACTGAGGGCCTAGATATTTTCTAAAGTCACCACCTACTACATCCATCCATCCATTATAACCTATGAAAGTCCACTGCTGAACATAGGCCTCCCAAAAAGATTGCCTCATAGGAATCTGGCATAGTTGTCACACTTGGCAGGCGAGTGGAGTAACTGGCTTCAAATTCGAGGCAAGTCAGTGCTGACCATCAGGGATAACTATGTATGTACATATTTATGAACCAAAAAATGACACATCTTCTATATCTAAATCAAATATACTTTTTATACCAAGGTACTTTTGTTTAAAAGGTAGCCCATTGCTCTTACCGTTACTTTAATATCACAGGTTATTTACATGTTAAACTGTTCCTGATTTAAAATTACTAAAGAGAATGATGTCACAACACACAATATATGTTTATGCATAATGTAATTCTACAAAATTTCTAAGTTCTCTTCTTAAGTTGAGTATATACCTATATCTATTTCTATTTTTTAAGTATTTACATTTCTTCCACATCTTCATCTCTTTTTTTCAGTAAAACTCTTTAGTCTTTTTTAAACAGCTGAAAAAAACAATAATTTCAATAATAAGTAATAACGAATAAATAAATTGATTGATTGATAAGTACTAGAAATTCTTTGTAGCTTGAACAATTATTTTTTAGTTCAGAAAAGCTAATTTAAAACCAATAGCCTTATATTACCGATGCGAAAGGTAACTTTTTGCGTTCTTCAGGGCTGACCAAGTAGTCGATTCCTTGCAATTTGGCCCAGCCATAATGAACTCCTATAAGAGCCGGCACCATTACAAGCAAAACTATATTTTTGGACACAAATTTTTTGACATTCATTTTTGCTATAATGTTATAGTAGATAATTTACGATGTTATCTTTATATTTAAAATTTAGAGGTTATTTATTTATCTTTCACTTTTATCAACTTTTATCTTAGAACCAGGTTTTTTTATTAAGATTTTTGTCTTGGATGCTAGCCTTTTAAGCAATGTCTTCATTTTATCTCAGTTCTAAGTTATAATAATCCATTTCAGAATTCCGATTCAGGATTCCGTGAATACTTCAGAAGCACAAGGGTCATTTAAGAGACGTTAGCCATTGAGTCTAGACATTCTGCCAGCGAATAATGACGACGATTTTCTGATTGCGATTCCATTGTTGCTGTATTATTGTTACTGGGTGCATCCCCTTATCACCCTAAGCTTGCAATATAGTCAGTATTATGTAAAAAGATCTATCTATTCAGAGATATTTTTTTAAATATAGATATCTGTATATACTTTCGACGAATTATTAAACAAAATAAGATGAAACATACGAAAAGCTATACACATATAAATTTAAATGTAAAAACATACACAAATACACCTACCGCTTCGGTCGTGCGACAAACACTGAGCGCGTTCCGTACGGAATATATGAATATGTATTGCGATTCATACAAAACCTAAAGAAGACTTGCGTTCGGAAGGACTTTATCCCGTCCGGGATTCCGAACGCACAGGTCATACGAAATCTCGAACCGAAGAAAATTCCGTACGGGTTTTTTTTTTATAAAACTAGGGTGACAAACGAGCACACAGTCCACATGATGGTAAGTGGTTGCTGTGGCCCATAGACATCTGCATCTATCTTCGTTTGCGAATTAAAATGCAGATGTGTTTTCAACCTTGAGGACTAAGATAGAATGCCTCTTTTCCAGTAAAAAGGGTCTCCGGTTCTCTACACTCACCATACGAAACACAGCAGCATTAAGCTGCTATTTTTAAATGCAATTGCATTGCTATGCTATTGTTAAACTAAAAGGTGAAAATCTTAAAAGGGATTCTATTGTTAGAGATCTCGGTGTTCTTCATGATTCTAAATTAATATTTGACGCTCATTTAGAAAGCATTATAGCCAAATCTTCGAAAGCTCTTGGATTTTTATGCGTAGCTCTAAGGATTTCACTAAGCCAAAAATTCTAAAGATCCTATATTGTTCTCTTGTAAGAAGTTATTTAGAGTATGCATCTCAAA